CAGCAACAACAGTACCATGTACTCCGCCATTGTTGTGTATGCTTGTTCGCGCTTGCCTTTAAAATCGACACGTACTGCGCATGTCTACATACCTAACACGTACTACTCACGCATGTCGTCACCGTTTTCAAAGATCCCCGGTATTCGGTGTTTACACGGAAACGACAACGGTGGCATTTTCAAAAACTTCCACTTTGAAACCCGTTTTCAAAATTATGCGTTTTCAGTCCCTAAAAACGCCGTTGTCGTGTAAACGAACAGACAAAACGCATAAAAAGTTTCCCGTTTTTGGCTGAAAACGTTGTCGTGTAAAAGGCCCCTAAGTTATTCCCAAAAAGCCCTGCCAACCACACACCACGCTCTAGCATTGTGTTATGAAGTGTTGCACCACTTACATTTTCATTGGACAATGTAGAACTCAAGTTGTATTTTGTATCTTTCTCGCGCAGGTCCGATGTGCGATCTCCTGTGGTCAGATCCTCAGCCGCAGGTCAGTTCTGTTCCCCTCCTTCAGCTAAGCGAAGGGTTTCGGTCACAGCTGTGTTTGAACGATGTGTGTTCTCCTCCAGGACGGACGGTCCATCAGCAAGCGGGGTGTGAGCTGTCAGTTTGGGCCTGACGTTACGGAGCGCTTCCTGGAACAGAACAAGCTGCAGTACATAGTGCGCAGTCATGAGGTGAAAGCCGAGGGTTACGAGGACACTCACTCAGGGAAGTGCATCACCGTGTTCTCCGCGCCAAACTACTGGTACGGAAACCTCTCGCTGTCCTTATCAGTGCATCATGAGATTTGTATTAATGAATGAGCTTCCAATTAAGCAAGAGCCATAAAAACATCTGGGTGTCAAGAACATGTCCTGGTCGTATTGTACCCCCAAATGTGACCCTGGACTGCAAAAGCAGTGTTAAGTCGCTGGGGTATATTTGTAGCAATAGCCAAAAATACATTGTATGGGTCAAAATTATACATTTTTCTTTTATGCCAAAAATCATTAGGATATTAAGTAAAGATCGTGTTCCATGAAGATATTTTGTAAATTTCCTACTGTAAATATATTAAAACTTAATTTTTGATTAGTAATATGCATCGCTAAGAACTTCATTTGGACAACTTTAAAGACAATTTTCTCAATATTTTGATTTATTTTGCACCCTCAGATTCCAGATTTTCAAAATTTCCTACTGTAAATATATTAAAACTTAATTTTTTGATTAGTAATATGCATTGCTAAGAACTTCATTTGAACAACTTTAAAGATGATTTTCTCAATATTATGATTTTTTTTCACCCTCAGATTCCAGATTTTCAAATAGTTGTATCTCAGCCAAATATTGTCCTATCATAACAAAATCATCTAATTTATTCAGCTTTCAGATGGTGTATAAATCTCAATTTCGAAAAAATTGACCCTTATTGACTGGTTTCGTGGTCCAGGGTCACAAATAAGAAAATTATATTCTGCGTAAGCCTGATTAGCACTGCATTAAGCCTAAGCCTGATTACTAAATGATCGTCTAATGGCGATCAGCGTAATTTTGCTCCACATTATGCGGTTCACTAAGAATATGGTACAAAAAGCTGATGTAATGTGCCACATTTAGTCAATTTAAAACCAAATACTTTTTTAATTATCAGTTATAACCGATGGAAAATGTATGATTTAATGCAGTCTTATTGAAAAGAAACCGTGTGTTAGAACATGTTGTGGTCAAGTGTCTGGATATATGTGCATATTCATGACTCTTTCTTTTCTGTGTGCTTCTGTTTTGTTTTTAGTGACCAGATGGGAAATAAAGGAGCTTACATTCATCTCAGGGGATCCGACCTCAAGCCAGAGTTCCACCAGTTTACTGCTGTGGTCAGTGGAGTTTCTTTTTTATGCATTTTATTGTCATTTACATTCACTCATTTTTAGGGGTGAACATATTCATCACTGATATATCAGCCCATATGTGGCATTTTTTAATTATTGCATTGGCTGATAAGTTTTTCTGTTTGGATGTGTTAGCATGACTTTTATTTTGACTGTGCTGTGAACGTCAGCGTCTCCTGTTCTTCATCTTCATTAGTTTACGGTCTCTGTTGAACAGTTTTAGTTATAGATTAGAGAGTAAACAAAGAAAGTAATCAGTATATGAAAAAGTATTATAGCATTTGCTTTTCTTGATACTTTCTCAACTACCCTCAGCGTTCAGCAAATGCACATCATTTAAATAGCATTTAAACAAGTCTTTGAATATTAAATAAATGTAAAATTTTTAACAAACCTTGCAAACTTTGTCAAATCTAGTGTGTACATGTAGACTGCATAAAAACAAGTGTGCATGATGGTCCATGTGAATTGGATGCAGACATGAGACTTTGCTGTTTTTGTGAAAAATAGTATAATAGGATTATAGAATCAAGAAGTTTTTTTTTTTTCATAATACATTTTTTTCATATTTATTCATTTTTTAAATTGTTAAATTATTTCTAACTTAGTAATTATTATTATTATAATAAAATATATAAATATAGTTTATTTACAATTGTTATGCATGTGTTTTAACCATTTGTTTTTGTTTTTTATAAAAATTACTGCACTGTTTTAAATTAAATATTGTGATGTTGCATTTATCGGCTTCATATCGACCTCCTTTGAGATTTTGACATCGACAATAACAATATCTGTTCATTTTCATCACATGACTTTTGGTTGGAATGCAACAACATTTGTTGTAGAAAAATTGTTTGTCTGAAAATGTCATATATAGCATTTATTGCAATCACCGTACAATTATTTAAATATTATTTAGGGTTTCTGCAGGTCTTACAAAGGTCTTTAAAAGCCATACATTTTAAAATTCATAAAATCGTGGTATTAAAAATGAATATCTTCCTCAGTCTTGTTTTTCAAAACAAATATTTAAACATCCTTAAATTACATTTACTTGAGATGCAAAATGAAGATATGTTTTCTGAAAAATTGAACAAAATTGAGTTTAAAACAAGAACAACTGCCTGTACATGGGTTATGAAAAGTCCATTGGTGGATATATATATTTTTTTTTTCATAAACTCACTTCATTTTGATTAATTTCACAGAAAAAAAGACTTATGCCATCACTTTTTGTAGGAATGTCTTTAATTGGTCTTATAAAGGTCTTTAAAGGGGTCCTATTATGCTCTTTTACAAAGTCTTGATTTTGTTTTGGGGGTGTACTAGAACATGCTCTCATGCTTGGTGGTTCGAAAAACGCATTATTTTTCACATAATTTACATTATTAAAATACCTTTCTCCCCAGGCTGGCACAAACGGCTCGATTAGTTCTGGGTTTTAATGAAGGCCCGCCTTTCGAAAAAAACGAAATGTTCAACAAAAGCTTTTGGCGAATCCGGCACTACTCACTCACTCATAAGCTGTCCTCAGTAAAATGCGCAGCACACAATAGCAAATTGGGGTTATAATGCTCAGGAACAGATTCAAAAAGTAAATTGCAAGCACTGTTTCCTGACATCATCCGCTTTCGGAAGCCGTTTGGGCACAGAGGTGAAAAAAAACAGTGTTTCAGGCGGTCGCA